GTCTTCAATAAACTTAAATAAAAGATTAAATAAACTGTTCAAACATATTATTTAACTATTATTAAACTTTACAGATTTACAGAATTATATGGTTTTATAACAATATATTTTTATATACATGCTTTTTTTTTATTATGTAATATATTTAATTAAAATAAACAAACAAATAAACAAATAAATAAATAATCCCATAAAGCTTGGGTGAAGGGGAAAAATGTAAAAATAAACTACTGTGGTAAAATGCAAATATTAAAATACTTAGCTTAAGCATAACACACACACCTTGTTCTTCAAAAATTGTTTCCTGACTTTGTCAGCAAGTTAATTAAATAGAGATAAATTTAAATTAAATTGATATGAATTTGTCCATTTTATTCCAACTAAAATCGTGTACCATTAAAATTACAACATCCAAACATCCAAGACTTTGAGTAGAAACTTCCCAGGAGGACTTGAAAGCAGCATAAATCCGCAAAACAAAGATAAGAGGAAACCCTAGAGGAACCATTAGATACATCAGAATCACACAGCTCATGTTGACGCATTGAAGAACAATGTTTACAGACAATTGGTGACGGTCAGGTAACAGGTCTTACTTTCTGTCTTAATTTTGCTTGCAAGTTCTCTCTGCTGAGCACAGATGGAGGTGGGCAGTGTAGGCATAACCAGGTGAGCGTCTTCTGTGGCATACAACAACAACATGCTCAACCCAATGCCACCAACAATCAGAAACTACATGCTCATTGTTCGCTGTCTGACGCTAACCTGTACATGGTTGAGTTGTTTTCTCTTTTGATCATGACAGAGGATGGTCGTGGTAAAATGAAGACAAATAACACAGAGATAAGGGTGGGCGGCATGACAAAAGCTTTATATCATAGTATCATTAGTGAACAAAAATGTAAAAAAAAAAAGTCAGAATTTTACTGCAACATTGAAAAAAATAAAAACAAATTCGAGAATAAAAACAAAACAGTTCATGAATGCAATGGTAATGTTTTAACAATAAGGTCAAAATTATGGGAACAAAGTCAAGTAAAATTATGTTATATTGTTATATTATGTTCTATTTTATTAATGCAATATTATGACTCCTAATTTTATAACTTAATCTTAGGATTTTTTTTTAAGGTGGCACTAACATGCAGCTGTAAATAACAAAACACTCATAAAGTATACATAAAAGTATAACTGAATAAGCCACGCTAATGTAAAATAGCTAATTCATGTACATTTGCTCACCTGTTCAGTTAATTAATCCAATTAGAGAAACAAGTTGCAATGTTTCTACTGTAGATCACTGTAAGCAACAGTTAAACCTAACCAATTAGCTTAGGGTGACCATATACGGACATGTGTAAATGACCTAAAATGTCTGGGTTTTTGCTTTGTTTTCCGATTGACTTTCTCATACATTATACGTACTATCGCATTTGCATTGTTTTGATCTCTGTAGATCCCACCTTCTCACATGCCATGATTGGTCGATTATGTAAAATGCCTGCACGCTATTGGTCAAGCTACTTTTCAGTCATTACCTAACAATAGGAAAACAAAGCGGCAATTTAGAAATCCCAGCCAGGGCATGTCTGGGAAAAAGTGAATGTATGGTAATCCTAAATTAGCTAGAATTAGTTAGAAACACACGGAGCACCAAAGCAAAATACCCCAACACATTGTCTATATTGGAAAACAGCTAGAGTTTTCTACTGTAGGATTTTTAAACAACAGTTTCAGCAGCATCACAGACTAATTTCTGCTCTATACCATCATGCCGCCCAACCCTACACAAACACTCGACAAAAAATAAGATATAAAAATAAAGGCCTGGTGTCTGTGAAGTGACATGAACACCCTAACACCCTGCTCTTTGTCTGACTGAGGAGCACTTAGCGTTCTCTGGTGATGGACATGCAGGAACACAATGGGCTGAGAGGTACATACTTCTCTGAGCGCGCGTACAGCAGAACGCGCCGATGGTTCCCATGAGGACGATGAAAGCAACGAAAGCGCCAACTGCCACGCCGATGATCACAGCAACAGGGAGGGAATCTGCTGGAAAACAAAACAGAGCCTTCTACAATAACACAGCATGGACAGGACGGGTAAATCCAGTAAATAAGTGCTCAAACACAGATGCCACCATTCACTCCTGAACATATTTCCAGATCCGCACTAGCGTGGAACAAATGAGAATGTCAAATGCCGTGTCGAAGAGACATTTGCACCTTCAAGGCATCTATTCAAAATAACAATTAACACCACCATCACCTTCTAGCGAAAACTCAGGTACCTTCACTTTAATCTGACAATTTGCAGCTATGCCAATTATCGCATACATTCAGTGCATGACACATGTCTTGCGTGTGCATAAACTGAACACTGCATGGGTTGTTATCGTTCATCTTGGATCATTTACGGACTCTAATAGGACTTTTATAAAACACTAATAGTGTTTTGCGAAGACGTGGCTTTAGGTTAATTAGAGCAAACCCAACTGTTTTATTTGTGCTCTTGTTGGTATGTTTAAACCGAAAGATGGAGCCCAGATTTTACAGCCAAACGATAACGAGAGGCTGAGGCAGACAAAAAGCTATACCTACACAAAGTTAATTACTGGCTCCCAGTATAAAATAAGCATTACGAGCTCTGCGTACTCACAGTGTATGCCTGTTTAATGTCTGAATTATTGTATGCTGTTCTTATAAACCTGGGGATATATGTTTTAAAGGAATAGTTTTTCCAAAATGTTTTTGTCACACAATGATACTGTATGGATTTAAAAGACTTCAGAAAAGTCTAGGGTAACCTTACGTCCTCTTTTTCCCGGCTAGGATTTCTATATTGGCTAAAATGCCCAGGTTATGGCTTTGTTTTATTATTGACGTGCTCTTAACAGGACTCATGCATTACATGTACTTGCGTATTTGCATGGTTTTGATCGTGCTTTGTAGATCCCACCTTCTCAGTGCCACGATTGGTAGATTATGTACAAAGCTTGAATTAAGTTGAAAAACGTATGACAACAATAGGAAAACAAAGCCAAAACCCAGATATTTAATACAATTTAGAAACCCCAACTGGGAAAAAGAGTGTCAGTGGTTGAATGTGTGCGACACATGGTGTGAAGATGTACTAATGCAGAAGTTTATTACTGATTATTTTAATTGAAAACCACATGTAGGTTGTGACTGTCAGTTATTTGTGAATTAAAGGGGTCATATGATGCGATTTAAATTTTTTCTTTCTCTTTGGAGTGTTACAAGCTCTTGGTGCATAAAGAAGATCTGTAAAGTTGCAAAGACTAAAGTCTCAAATCCAAAGAGATATTCCCTATAAAAGTTAAGTCAGCCACACCTACCTAAAACGGCTCGTTCTAACACGCCCCCACATATCTACATCACGATGTGGGAAGAATTGCATAACGCCGCCCAAATGTTCACGCAAAGAAAGAAGGCGTAACTTTTATTCTCGCTATAGTATTGTTGTTGCTGCCGCCATGTCGTGATGGCGCTGTGTGCTTCGTTGTGAAAGTGAAACTACTTTGTTTGGTCTTCCAAAAGAGGACGATATCTGCTTCGTCATGCCTGGAGCTGATCCGTGCTGGTCGCTGAGGAAATACATCAACTTCGCGCTGTGGATCGCCGGATCGGCTTTCACCGTGGACGAAGCGGAGTCCAGCCCGGGGTCGTCACATGTGGTTGCCGCAGGCATCACAATATGGTAAGGGACGTAACATTTCTGTCACATGCTTGAGGAATTCGGCCAATCACAACGCACTGGATAGCTGGCCAATCAGAGCACACCGTGCTTTTTCATACCGATGAGCTTTGTAAAAATTGATGCGATTCAGAAAGGCGGGGCATAGAGAAACAATACAATACAAACAATGTACAGTATATGGAAAATAATGTGTTTTTTGAACCTTAAACAACATAAACACATTTCATTACACCAAATACACAAAATAATGTTATTTTTTGCAGCATCATATGACCCCTTTAAATCTAGTATATAAATACATTAAAAGATATTAAAAGGAGACTTGCTAATTTGATAAATGGAAAGTAATGGAGAAAATATCTAATATTTTTTTTAAGATTCTACTCTATTCCAATTTTTTCAGAAACTATGGCTATTAAACACTGCATCACTACTCTACCACAGGCATGTTTTAAAGAAAAGAAGGCGAATCCTGGCGAACCTTGGCTCCCACCTTGTTCCTTGAGGCGAATGATCTCTGTATCGGAGCCAAAGCTGTTCCAGGCGGTGCAGTTGTAGATGGTCTGGAAGTCGGCGTGTACGATGTTACTCATGGTCAAGGTGGACAGCACTCCGTCCTCTGTGCTTACTGTCTCCACCGTGTAGCGACCTGACGTCCCTGACTCCAGGACGGTCTCCTTCCAGGACCAGGCCTGATGAAGAGCGAAGAAACCATATTGAAAAGACCAGCATGAGTTGTTTTGGATGCTAGTCTGTTGCATCATACAAAAATAAACGTATTCAAGGCA